GTCGGCGTCGTCGTCGACGCAGGGGGGGTCGGAGACGCCGCGCGGCACAGGGCGTGCTCGATCGGCGTGCCGCACCAGCCTTCGCCCAGAGCACGAACGCGGACTTCGCGCCCCTCGAAAGGTTCGCAGCCAAGCGCACCCGGAAGTTGCACATGTCCGTCGCCTGGGATAGGTGCGGGGGCCGGGCACGCCGCGGCCCAGGGGGCTTGTGAAGGCCGGGCAGGGGAGGGAAGAGGATAGCGAGAATGCCTTGAAAGCCTCGCCGTTGCGCTGCGTGCCAGTCCTGTGCAAGAGACGCCGCTTCCGCAGGGGAAGAGCGAGCGATGGTGGACATCTGAGGCGGTTTCCCGGTGAGGGGGCGGCTGACAATGAAGGCGCGCGGGGCCGCTGCCTTGCATGCGCCCTGAAGGGCATGTGTCTGGGGTCCATGGGCGGAACCGCGAAAGCGTTGGGATGACACGCGCGGCGCCCACCTCGCTCTGCACCTTCCACCCGGACCCCCCGTTGGTTGGGGGCACGTCGAAGGCCGCGTTCCAGAAGCCGTGCTCGAGCACCGACCTCAAGAGAAGGGCCCCGTGCTTGTCGACCAGCTTCTTTGCGCCGCGGTTATCAGCCACGAGGAGACCGACGAAGGCCCAGCCTCAGCTGCCGGAGGCGCAATGGGTGAGGGGGCCCCGATAAAGGGCCCAGGTGGCTTGGCGTCAGGGGGCAGGCACAATCCGCGTCGACGGGAAGGACAAACGGCGAGGATGCAAGGCCCTCGGGCCTTCCACTCTGGACGCCCATGGACGTCGAAAGTGGCCGACGATTGGCGGCAGAAGCAAGGATGCCTGGGTGCCCTCGATGACGTAGCGCGCCCTTACTATGGGTTGTGAGGTTGAATCAGGGGACAGGTAGAGTTCCGCACAATGCAAAGGGCTCCGGGGGGAGCAGGGGGAGGAGGAGGAGGAGGAGGAGGAGGAGGGGGAGGAGGGGGAGGAGGAGGAGGAGGAGGAGGAGGGCGACGAGGAGGAGGAGGGGGAGGGGGAAGGGAAAGAAGGACGTTGCGAGCAGGGGCCACTGGGCGGCGTGCTGAGGCCAGCGGCGGGGTTGCGGAGGGCGCTGGTGTTCGGCGGCAAGAGGCCCAGGCACCGCGATCCCACGTCATGCGGGAGTCCGGGGCGCGAAGCAGAGGCTACGGGGGGACGTGCGCGAGAGCGCGCGGTCGCGCCTGTCAGCGCGTCTGGCGGGGACACCCCCTCGGCGGTTCGCGCGGGGGGCGCCCGCGCCAACGCGGGGGGGGCATGTGCGGAAGGCCGGCAGGCGTTTGGATGTCGAGGGAGACGCCCTTGGGCGGCTTCGGGAGCTGGTCTGAGTACTGCGCCACCGCCTTCGCGGTCAGAGTGGCAAAAGGGCGAGTCGCTCCTGCTGCAGAGCGGCCCAAGGCCGCGCTGTCCACGAGGCTGACCCGGCAAGCCCCGTCGCGGTCCTCCCCAAGGTCCACCTTCTCCACCACGCACACCACGGTGCACGTCGTCGCGAAGGCCCGGTGGCTGGACTCCGACGCGGCCGCGGCGCCGAAGCCCTCCTTCGGACGGCGCAGAGAACGCGTTCGAGGTCTCGTGCGCGGCGCTCCGCGTGGTCGTTACGGGGACAAAGGTGGCCCGTGAACTTGTTCTCTGCGTGTCGAGCCTTCGGGCGCGGCGGCAGCCGCGGGTTCTGGGAGAGAGCGCCCTTCTTCAGCGTCTTCTTGGCGCCGCGAGAGGCCGGAGCCGCGCGGCCGCGCGCCATCTGCGCAGCGAGGGTAGGACTTTGCCGTGGGCGCGGGCGCAAAGGGCAGGGAGCGCTGCGAAGAGCGGAGCTTGAGCCGAAAAGGCCAGAACGGGAGGGAAAGGGAAGAGAGGGAAGCGGGATGGGGAGACAGGGGGAAGAGGAAGTTAGAGGAGCATCCGGATCTCCGATGCTTCAACAGCTCCTGGAAAGGCGGCCTGTTGCGCGTGAGTGCCAGATGTTGTGAAAGGATTTCGGTGGAACTCACGTCGTTTTCACCCCCGGCGCGAGAGGAGCACAGGCATCCAGAGGGATTTGTGGCACCGTTTCTGGAGAGATTCGAAGACCTGGAGAGATCTGGCGGCGAGTTCCACGCTGGGCCACTCGTCTGGGGCATCCTTTCAGAACTGGGTTCGGGGGGGGGGCAGGAGGAGACGGACCTCCGGCACCGTCTTTGGAGATAGAGAGCCGCGAGCTTCGGCGCCGAGTTCCAAACCGGCGCCCTCGCAAGGGGATCCTTCCAAGACCGGCCCTGGGGGAGAGGCCCAGAGGAGCCTACCTTTTCCAGAGAGTTCCGGAGAGATCCAGCGCCGAGTTCTAAACCGGCACTCTCGCTTGGGACATCCTCTCAAAACCGGTCCTGGGGGAAAAGCTTTGAGGAACCCAGAAGGGCTTCGGCGCCGTTTCTGGAGAGATCACATAAATCGGGGACCGAGTTTCACACTGGCGCTCTCACTGGGGACACCCTCTGCCTCAAAGTTGGTCCCCGGGGGGGGGCCTGGAAGAGTCACGAAGGGTTGTCGCCGCTTGGTCGCCTGCGTCCTTTTGAGAATCCAAACGCCGCAGTTTGACTCCCGATGTACTGGAGGGCATCGGCTCTGGATGGGCAGGTGGTCGTAGCTGCCTTCACTGTCGCATGTGTATTTTCTCCGCCATCATCGCGGCGGCACCGGCGCGCACCGTTCTCGAAGCCGTAACGAAGCAGACAGCGCTCTGGTAATGACGTAGACCCTCGGTCACCTAACTTCGCGCTTCGCGCTGCGCGAAAAGCGATGAGCCTCGCGCTTTTGCGCGGCCATCCTGGAGAAGGGCAACTCTCTGACGCAGACCGCGGAGCGTGAAGTGCGACTATCTTCGCGCGCGCGCATGTTACCCATTGCAGAACCATGCTTATCCGCACATGTGGGGATGCCCCCAGCGGGTCGCGGACTGCACGCCCCTGGCGGCGCCTTCGGCGCGCTCCGCGCGCAGGAACGGTGTGGGGAGCGGGGCCTAGCGACGACCCTAGCAATCAACGCGGACCTCCGAAAATGTATGCTCGTTTGTTTGTAGGTTCTTGAAAAATGGGCGCTGCAGTCCGATCCTACAGAAACGACAGCGTGATTTTCCCACGGCGTGGGCCCCCAGTACTTTCGACCTCTTCCCATGGGCAGGTGTCTCGACGCGGGTAAAACTCGGATGGTCCTGGGGCCCGAAACGGGCCTCTGGATGCCGGAACTCAGAACAACGTGCCGTCGTGTTTTTTCAAGGAGCTGGAGGCCGAGGGCCCTGCCTTGGCGCGCCCTCCATCCCCTCCTTCGAGGAGGAGGCGCCGGCAGGAGGAGGAGGAGGAGGAGGAGGACGAGGAGGACGGGGGGAGGAGGAGGGGGGGGGAGGGAGGGGGGGGGGGCGTTGTTAGTGGGTGAGGGCCGGGGGCGTTCGTTGGGGAGGAGGAGGAGGACGAGGAGGAGGAGGGGGAGGAGGAGGAGGGAGGAGGAGGAGGAGGAGGAGTTGGGAGCGGAGTCGGAGTCGGAGTCGGAGTCGGAGTCGGAGTCGGAGGAGGAGGAGGAGGAGGAGGAGAGAGAGGAGGAGGAGGAGGGAGGAGGAGGAGGAGGGAGGAGGAGGAGGAGGAGGAGGAGGGGGAGGAGGAGGGAGGAAGGAGGAGGAGGAGGAGGAGGAGGAGGAGGAGGAGGAGGAGGAGGGGGAGGAGGAGGAGGAGGAGGAGGAGGAGGAGGAGGAGGAGGAGGAGGAGGAGGAGGAGGAGGAGGAGGAGGAGGAGGAGGAGAGGGGCAGGCCCGACTGAAAGCCAAGGAAACTCCCGACCGTCCGTCTCTGCGCCCCGCGCCCCGCGGCCCTCCCTCCGCGCGCTCGGCGCGGGACCCCCTTGGATGAGGGGCGGCTCTTCGGCCAGGGGCCGCAGCGCGCGAGGAGCGATCTCGCTCGCCTGCGGTTCGCTCTCGAGCTGCTCGCCCTCGTGCTGCTCGCTCTCGCGCTGTTCGCTCTCGTGCTGTTCCCGCTGCTCTTCGCTTTGCCTCTGTCTCGGGGATGGACAGACCCCCCTTTAGTAAAACGTGGCTTAGTGAAAACGACCTGAGGCCCAAACCTGGTGGGCGCAAGCCTGGAAAATAAGTTCACGGCCACGGCGCCCTCTCGAGAACCGAAAACGGACCATCCGCTCATCGACGTGCCACTGCTGGGGGCTCTGTCCACCCCCGACTGCTCTGCCTCTGCTGCCGAGGCCGAGATCAAGACGCGAGAGCGGCCCTCCTCCTCCTCCTCCTCCTCCACCTCCTCCTCCTCCTCCTCCTCCTCCTCCTCCTCCTCCTCCTCCTCGCCACGGCACCGTCCCGCTCGAGCCCCTGCGCGATCGCCTCCGCGCCCTATCGCGGGGGACCTGGGAACCCCGAGAACGACGGGGCCCCCGGCGCTCTCGGTGGGCCCTCGGCCGCCGGAGGCCCACCGCCGCGCTGCTGGACCCGTGGGCGTCTGGGAGTGGCGAGCGGGAATCGCGTGCTCTTTATGGGGCGGAACTATAATGTCATGGTGTAGTAATGTCATGGTGTAGTGCGCCGGGGCGGGGACGTCGGCAGGGGGGGGGGCGAGGCACGTGGAGGAGGAGGAGGAGGAGCAGCAGCAGCAGTCCACGGCCGAGGGCTTTTTTTCTGAGGCAAGGCGTGTAGTCAGCAAATTCGGCTGGCGGCGCGGCCTAGCATGAGTGAGAATCAGCGGGACGTTCCCGCCGGCCGTTTGCGGGCCGGCTGCGCGCGAGACGGAGCCGCCGGCTGTCTGCGGGCTGGCTGTGCCTTTCGTTTCTTGGGCGCGTTCTGGGTCGTAGGCAAGAGGAGCTCCGGCCAGATTATATTTCGGGCCAGAGCGCGGTGGCGGGCGGTCTGGCGCTCCACGGAAGTGAGGATCCGCACGCACGTTCGGCAGCGGATCCGTGAAAGAGCTACGTACAGGTGGCCGCGAGAGAATGGCGAGATGCGAACGTCCACGACGCAGGCGTCAAGGGTGCATCCTCGGGAGCCGTTGAAAGTAGTGGCATACGCGGCCCTCAAGGGGTACTGCCGACGAGTCATGGTGGAAGTCCCGTGGGCCAGCGGCCAGCGGAAGACAATGCGCGGCAGGGGGAAAGTCTCGCCACTCAGCGTGCGGATGACGACGTGGTGCTCGTGCACCGCTTGAAGGATCACTGGGGTGTGGTTCATGAGGCGGTCTTCGGGGCTGAAGTTCCGCATCAATTCGTACAGAGCGCCCACCACTAAATTGAGGTCGTGCGGAGGAGCTCCATGGTGGGTCTGGTTGTGTAGGAACTCGGCAGAAATCTGCAGCGGAGAGCTTTCTGGCGCGTCCATGTCCAAGGAGTCGCTGCTGAACCGGTGGAAGGAAGGCAACTGGTAAGTGGTGGACAACATCCGCAGGATAGCGTCGTTGAAAACGTCCACCATGGCGTTCGTGGCGGTGAGGATGCGACGGGTTGCGCAGCGGGCGGCGTCGGCGACGCGGGGGAAAGCGAAAGCCATGGCATCATTTTCCGTGTAGACGGTGTCGCACAGAGAGAGTTCCGCGAAGCCGCGCACGCCGGCGACGGAGCGAGGAGCCGACAGCGTTCCAGCACCGACTTCGTTTTCCCAGTTGCCGTAGGCTGGGCCCAGCGCCTGCCTGTGCAGAGTCGGGAGGTGGAACACCGAGAAAGACGACCATGACTGCGACCGGCGGGCGCTCGTCTCCACAATCGTGTCGCGAGAACCTCCAGGCACGACGGGTGGTATCTGGCGGAAGTCGCCGTAGCACACAAACGTTTTGGGCACGTACTCGGGGCCGTAGCTTCCCTTCAGGGTGGCGCAGAGATCGAGGGCGGCTTCCCAGCACGACCGTTTGCACGCGGGCCACTCCTCCCACTGGATGAGAGAAGCTCGCGCGATGCGCGCCGCGGCGGCAGAGCGAAGTCCCAATGTAGAGGAGAACTTCGGCTCGTCAGCGACGGGGAGGCCGAATGTGGAGTGCGCCGTGGCGCCGCACGGGAGCTGCAAGGCTGCCAAACCTGAGGGGGGGCGAAGGGGGCAGGGGCCAGTGCGGGAGGAAGAGGAGGAGGTGGGGGACGTGAGGCCTGAAAGGGGGGGCGGAGGAGGGGTGCAGCAGGACCGGTGGTAGCCGCGTTGATCACTTCCTTGGGCAGGGACTCGCCGTGGTAGTGGAGGGCGGACGCTAAAGTGGACTTGCCGGTGCCGGAGCGGCCCTCGACAAACGCGAGAGCCGTGCGAGTGCCTCCCGTGCTTTTAAATGACGACCCTGCTTCCGCGGACCCGCGGAATCGTGTTTCGGGAAAGAGGGGGGAGAGGGTGGGAGACGGCGAATGGGATGGGCGAGCGGGGATGTGGGGGAGGGGGATGGCGGAAAGTTTCTGGGGGAGGTTCTGGGGGAAGCACGATTCCACGGGCGCGCTGCATAGGAGTCGGGGAGGAAGCAGGGGCGACCTTGGAGGCACATGTCGACGTGCTGGAAGACTGTCCGTTGGTTGGCGTCGTGGAGGACGCGGTGCTTGAAGGAATCAGGCGTGGAGGTGTCGTCTGCGCGGGCCGGCGCGGCGCTCTGCCTCTCGAGCTTGCAGACGCCGCCCACAGGCCAGTCGCTGTCGGAATGGCCGCTGTGCACCCAAGCCGTGCGAAGGTCATCCTTCAGACGTGTCTGCGCTGTCGTGGTGGAGAGGCCAGCGTGGAGGTAGTCTCGCATCATGTCTTTCTCGAAGGCGGCGTAGAGTCTGACGGGCGCGGCTTCGAGCTCCAGCAAGAGGGCGAAGGCGAAGCGCAGTTGCGCAGCCGTGTATCGCAAGCCGACCATCTCTGTGAGCACATGAGACGCCTCGTCGGCGGCGGCGAAGAGGCCCGTCGCGCGCATCACTTCCTGCAGGGGGGGAGGGGAGAGGGGTGTGAGAAGGAGATGAAAGGATGAGAGTACGTTGCGTATGTGTGGGTGAGGGGGTGGGGCCGGCGCTGGGCCTGGAGGCGGCGGTCCTGGGAGGGCGGGGCGGGGGGGGGAGGGGGCGCGTTCTGTCCGAGGGTCCTCGTAAGTGTTGCGCGTCTGGGCGCCGTGCCGCGTGCAGTCCTCGAAGGAAAGCTTGGGGTAGTGCAGGAAGATGCGTCGCAGGTAGAAGACTTCCTTCTGGTTTGGGAACTTCATCTCCAGGCGGCAGAACGGGCGGTCCCCAGTGCGCGGGTAGACGTACTGTCGAAGGTCAGGAGGGGCCGAATCTTGCGTCGGCAGAAATGGAAGCGGGCGGCGAGCTCGGGCGTTGGGGGGCGGGCCGCTGGACGAGGAGGCGAAGTAGGGGCGGCGCCATGCTGGGCACGTTTTGGATACCATGCATGTCTCGTAGTACTCGGAGTAGGTGAAGCTGTCGAAGGGGTCGGTGCGCGGCCTGTAGAAATAGCGATCCAGAGCGGACACAGTGGTGGAGAGAGCCAGCTCGGCGTTGCCGTCGTCGAAGTGCACCCAGTCGCCGCCTTTCAGGTGGACGGGCAAGCAGATGACGTTGGGGTGCCTGTAGTATGTTCGGTACCCAAAGAGTCGCCACGCGCACTCCGTTGCACAAAGGTACCGGCCCCGCTGCCATTCTGTGATTTCGTCGAGGACTTCGTCGTCGAAGGTGACGTCGTAGTTGGCTTTGTCAGGGCCCTTGAACATATACTTGTACAGGTACTCGAAGAGTTCCACGGAGGCCGCGAACTTGACGTTGCAGTGGCCGTCCCAGTTGAGCAAGAGATCTTCGTTGTACTCAACGATATACCTGTTGAGGCACACCTTGGATTTCCCGCCAGCACCGCGCGGGGCCGAGCAGTTAGGGCAATGGCCGCCGCAGGGGGGGCGCTTGAGGGTGGGGTAGCCACGCCGGTCGAAGGTGGTTTCTTCACATAATGGCCACGGACAGCCGCGCACGCAGTCCTGGGCGGGGTCGACTGGGCGACATTTTGGGTTGCACCGATGCACCATCTGTCGCAGGGCGGCGTCTCGCAGGGGGCCGGGCGCAGCAGGCAGAGTGCAGGACACGTACTTGTCGACCTCCTCTGCGTTTCTCGGTGGATTTTGCAATGCAAGGGCGATGTGTGCATGCGGCAGGCCGCGTTTCTGGCACTCCACAACCTGTACGATGTAGACGTGGTCGCCAGCCCAGTCCTTCTTAAGGTATTGAAGTAGTTTATTGAGGCGACCGTGGAAAACGCGAACGGAAAGGTCAGGGCGATCAGCAGCAGTCTGTCCGTCGAGTAGGTTGGAAACAATTTCTGGCCAGTTCGGGTTGCACGTGACGGCGATGAAAAACGTTGGTGGCCCGAGGCGCCGGGCGAGTTCCAGAGCGTCCGTGCGCTGCCGGCGAAGGTATCGCGGGGTGCCCACGACGGCGGAAGGCAGGAAGGACTTCTTGGCGACGGTGTTCGTGGAGGCAGCGGAGTTCCGGAGGACCTCGCACAAATCGGTCCGCTTGGCGACGTATTTGGCCTGCCCCTTGGGATGGGGGGGGGGGGAGGGCGCGGGGGCGGCGACGACGACGAACAGGACAGGGAGAAAATGGGGGAGAGCAGGGAAGAGTTCCAAGCGGGGGGGGGGGGAGGGAGAAGGCGGGGGAAAAAGGAAGAGGCGAGAAGCGGCGGATGTGGGAGAAGGCGAGCGTGAGGAAGAGGCAGGGAGGGGGGGCGGAAGGAACGGGGGGGAAGTGAGGAGGGCATGCGAGGAGAGGGTCGATGTGGGCGCCGGAAGTGCAGGATTTGACCCGCGTCCTTCCGCATGGCGTTGAAGCGCGCGTCCTCCATTCTGCAGTACATGTTGATGCACCATTCGTTCAGCAGGCGCCCACAGAGGTGCATGTGTCGCGCTCTCATCAGGAGTTGGCGGTACCACCACATCTGCGTCAGCGTGCTGCCCGAAGTAGTTGTGGCGTCAATGCCCCACCCGCGGCCGCCGTAGGGGAAGAAGAGGGGGTGGCTCAGGGGCTCGTACAGGGGGCTCAAAGGGTCCAAGTACTGCGGGTGCCCGGTGCGGTGGCGGCACAACATAACCTTTCTGAAGTTTTTGTTCTGCGGCGGGTTCAGGTCGACAATTCCGGCAACTTCGCGAACGTCGTCGCGCCATTCGAGGACCAGGGCGGCGTCCACAGAGGCTCGCCGCAACGTGGACAGGCGGACGAGTTGCTTCATGTGGGCGTTGTTGGCCAGGAGGAACTTCTCGATGGGTTTGACGATGCTGTAGTGGAGGTCCTGGGTGGGAGCTGCCTTCTTGCGCTCCAGCGGGTCGACAATGAGGTGCCGGAGCGGGGCGGCGTCCGCAGCGGTGAAGATTTTTCGGTACATCGTCCCGTGGATGCGGATGTTCGCTGGTCGGCCGGGAGCGGCCAAGTGAAGCTCACGTTCGTCGGAGGAGGATTGGACGACGTGCTGCGCCAAACAGAACAGGTTGTTGACCCGTCGGGACGATGCGGAAAATGACGTGGTGGCCGAAAGTGCGGATGTGGATGTCTGTGTGGCTCTCGTTTGCGTTTGAGCCCCGGTGCTGGGCCATTGCTTGCGGCACAGGCTGAGCAAGGTATCTGGGGGGTCTTTGAAGAAGGTGGAGAAATCGACGGCGTGGACTCCGAAATGGCAGCAGACGTTGGGCCCTTCCCGCTCGAAGAGCACGGCGCCGCAGCGCGAGCATTCTTGCGTGAGCTCGCCCAAGGAGAACTTGTCAACGACCGTGGGTGTTTCCGCAGCGTCGAGGCATGCAGTGCACGTGCAAGAGGCCCCCTGGTACACCGCGCGGCGGCCGGCCCGCGTGGTCTGAGGGAAAGAGCGTCGAGGCAGGATGCGGTGGCAGTTCTGGCATTCGATGAGCGCCGACATGTTTGAGCCGTGCTGGCTGCGGAAGGCTCCCAGGGTCCCCAAGGCCTCGTAATGGGCCAACTTTGGCAGGATCTCTTTGGGGACTCTGTCACAGCGGTTCTTCGATGGGGAGGAGGAAGTGTCTGCAACGTCCTTCATGGCACAGAAGGTGGAGGGCGGGAAATGACGGCGCGTCCGCCTTCCAGGGGGCGTCGTTAGGGGGTCACCGGGCTGGGGCAGTGGCAGCGTGTGAATTGGGGGCCGAGGTCCTCATCAGGAGGTTTCCACCCGAGCTTTGACGGCTGTCCCCGCTCGCACGCCTGCGCCCCCTGGAGGATCTGATACCCGCAGTGGAACTCCGGAAATACTGGGAGGCATCGGTCCTGGACGGGCAGGTGGTCGCACCTGCTTGCACTGTCGCATGAGTATTGTCTCCGCCATCCTGGTGGCACTGGCGCGTACGACCCTCGAAACCATAACGAAGCAGAGAGCCATTCTGTTTCTAAGTAGACCCTCGGTCATTTAACTTCGCGCTTCGCGCTGCGCGAAAAGCGATGAGCTTCGCGCTCTTGCGCGGCCATCCTGGAGAAGGGCAACTCTCCGACGCAGACCGCGGAGCGTGAAGTGCGACTATCTTCGCGCGCACGTGTGTGACCCATGGCAGAACCATGCTTTTCCACACATCTGGGGATGCCCTCAGCGGGTGGTGGACTGCACGCTCCTTGCGGCGTCGCGCGGCTCGAAAAGCGATGAGCTTCGCGCTCCTGCGCGGCCATCCTGGAGAAGGGCAACTCTCCGACGCAGACCACGGAGCGTGAAGTGCGACTATCTTCGCGCGCACGTGTGTGACCCATGGCAGAACCCTGCTTTTCCACACATCTGGGGATGCCCTCAGCGGGTGGTGGACTGCACGCTCCTTGCGGCGTCGCGCTGCTCGAAAAGCGATGAGCTTCGCGCTCTTGCGCGGCCATCCTGGAGAAGGGCAACTCTCCGACGCAGACCGCGGAGCGTGAAGTGCGACTATCTTCGCGCGCACGTGTGTGACCCATGGCAGAACCATGCTTTTCCACACATCTGGGGATGCCCTCACCGGGCGGTGGACTGCACGCTCCTGGCGGCGCCTTCGGCGCGCAGGAACGATGTGGGGAGCGGGGTCTCACCACGACCCTAGTAATCCACGCGGGCCTCCGAACATTTATGCTCGTGCTGTTCTTCGGTTCCGGAAAAAAGGACGATGCGCGCCGATCATACAGAACCGACAGCGTGATTTTCCCACGGCGTGGGCCCCCAGGACTTTCGACCTCTTCCCCTGGGCATCTGTCTCGTTGCGGGTAGGACCTGGATGGTCCCTGGGCGCGAAAGAGGCCTCTGGAGGCCGAAACTCAGAACTACGTGCCGTCGTGTTTTGTTCAAGCAGCCAGGACTTTCGACCTCTTCCCCTGGGCATCTGTCTCGTTGCGGGTAGGACCTGGATGGTCCCTGGGCGCGAAAGAGGCCTCTGGAGGCCGAAACTCAAAACTACGTGCCGTCGTGTTTTTTTCAAGCAGCCGGAGGCCTAGGGTCCTGCCGCGGCGCGTCCTTCATCGTCCTCCCCGAGGAGGAGGCACCGGCAGGAGGAGGAGGAGGAGGACGAGGAGGACGAGGAGAAGGTGAAGGGGGGGCTGGGGGGAGGAGGAGGGTGGGGGCGCCGTTAGGGAGTGAGCGGGCTGGGGCAGTCCGAGTGGGAGGAGGAGAAGGAGAAGAAGGAGAAGGAGAAGGAGGAGGAGGAGGAGGAGGAGGAGGAGGAGGAGGAGGTGGTGGAGGATGAGGAGGAGGCGGAGGAGGAGTCGGAGGAGAAGGAGGAGTCGGAAGGATCTCTTTGGAGACTCTGTCACAGCGGTTCTTCGATGGGGAGGAGGAAGTGTCTGCAACGTCTTTCATGGCACAGAAGGTGGAGGGCGGGAAATGACGGCGCGTCCGCCTTCCAGGGGGCGTCGTTAGGGGGTCACCGGGCTGGGGCAGTGGCAGCGTGTGAATTGGGGGCCGAGGTCCTCGTCAGGAGGTTTCCACCCGAGC